CAGATGTAAATTTAAATATTTGATCTTATTTAAAATATTTATCAGTTGATATTTTAGGGAATGGAATGGAAAAAATATGATTCATAAATTTAATCTATACAAGAAAGCAATATAAAATGACTGTATATTAGTTCGTTTTTCAACAGACTAAGTTTTTCTCATATATATATTTATCTTTCATGTTTCTTTTTCTTGAAATTAAATAAAATTAATTCTTTGTCTATTTTCAAATATACAATTACCATAAAATAAAAGCTGTCATGTACTGATTCACATATAGAATTATTTTATCCGGAAAATATATCAAAATTCTTGTTCGTTGGGTAATTACACAATTAAAATAATTATGTCGTTAGGCAATACCTAGATTCGAACACAGTACTCTGATATATCTAATACGTAATAGAAAAGCAGAGAAACACATGTATGCCATCTTGAATATAATTCTAATTTATAAGCAATAAAAAGAATGCTGTGTTTTGTGATCATAATTAAAAACAAATTGGTTGACATGTAACTTTTATATAATGTATAGAGTATATAAAAAGAATTTGCCAGGGATGGGGATCGAACCCATGCTCACTATTGTGAATTGGATCTTAAGTCCAACGCCTTAACCACTCGGCCACCCTGGCACGGAATAAAGTGGATTTATTTAATCCTCTAATTTGTTTATACGTACACGGTGCGAATTTGATACATAGTTGCTTTAAATGAATACAACAAGCTCTATGTTTGTATTGTTGTACATAGACTTTCCATACTGTTTTTACTACCGGTTTATTTCAAAATTATTAAAATATAAATATAAAAAAACGACATGTTAAATCTGTGTATACAAAATTCCAATTTATTATAAACTACTTGAAATATAGTCAGTATTAATATCACGAATCTTTGAACTATCAGAAGATCTTGAATCCTGATCTGCTTGTGTTTTATAAGATAATTCTTTCTCTTCTTTAGGTCGATGTTTTCGCATAATGGCATGATATAATGGTTTGAAAGCAAGTTTATATGATAAAAATACCAAACCAAATATTTCTATACAAACAACAGTGAATAGTACACATCGAAATATAACTTCTGATTTTCTAGTAATTGGTTGTTGTACATTTTTAACATAATAAGGTGTTTCACTTATAGTAATTGTCAATGTTGTTAATGATGATGAAGAACGAACATATTGATTATTTGTTAC